TCTTAAATCTGTTCTTCACTTCCACTGTGTACTCATAAGGGATTTGGTTTAGATTATATTTGACTAGCCCAGTGTTTTTTCCTACTTTCTTCAGTTTAAGCTTGAGTTTTGCTATAAAAAGCTGATGATCAGAACCACAATCAGCTCCAGGTCTTGTTTTTGCTGCCTGTATAGAGGTTCTCCATCTTTGGCTGCAAAGAATATAATCAATCTGATTTCGGTACTGCCTATCTGGTGATGTCCATGTGTAGAGTCACTTCTTGTGTTGTTGGAAAAGAGTGTTTGTGATGACCAGCTTGTTCTCTTGACAAAACTCTATTAGCCTTTGCCCTGCTTCGTTTTGAACTCCAAGGCCAAACGTCCCTGTTGTTCCTTTTATCTCTTGACTCCCTACTTTAGCATTCCAATCCCCTATAATGAGAACATCTTTCTTTGGTGTCAGTTCTAGAAGGTGTTGTAAGTCTTCATTGGTTGTAGGTGCATAAACTTGGATTACTGTGATGTTGAAAAGTCTGGCTAGGATTCATATTGAAATCATTCTATCATTTTTGACATTATATCCCAGTACAGCTTTTCCCACTCTTTTGTTGACTGTGAGGGCTATTACAATTCTTCGACGGGATTTTTGCCACTATAGTAGATATGATAATTGTCTGAATTGAATTTGCCAATTCCCGTCCATTTTAGTTCACTGACGCCCAGGATGTCAATGTTTCTTCTTGCCATCTCCCGTTTGACCACATCCAACTTACCAAGGTTCATAGATCTTACATTCCAGGTTCCTATGCAGTATTTTTCTTTGCAGCATCGGACTTTCCTTTCACGTCCAGGCACGTCCACAGCTGAAAATCCTTTCGGTTTTGGCCCAGCCACTTCATTAGCTCTGGAGCTACTTGTCTTCCGCTCTTCCTCAGTAGCATGTTGGATGCCTTCTGACCTGAGGGACCCATCTTCCAGCATCATATCTTTTAGCCTTTTGTTTCTGTTAATGGGGTATTCTTGGCCCTTTCACGTCCAGGCACGTCCACAGCTGAAAATCCTTTCGGTTTTGGCCCAGCCACTTCATTAGCTCTGGAGCTACTTGTCTTCCGCTCTTCCTCAGTAGCATGTTGGATGCCTTCTGACCTGAGGGACCCATCTTCCAGCATCATATCTTTTAGCCTTTTGTTTCTGTTAATGGGGTATTCTTGGCAAAGATACTGGAGTGGCTTGCCAATTCCTACTCCAGGTGGATTGCATTTAGTCAGAACTCTCTACTATGACCTGTCCGTCTTTGGTGTTCCTGTATGGCATAGCCCACAGCTTCTCTGAATTACTCAAGCCCCTTTGCCATGACAAGGCAGCAATTCGTGATGGAGCATAATCCATGAAGGACCATGTTTATGGGGCATAAACATGGGAAATAGTAATAATAATGACCCAGAAAGAAGGTCATGGGGTGATCTAGTGATAATCTCATATACGTAATAATTTTGAAAAGTAATAAATATTTGGAGGATGATTGGGGGAATGGAAATAATGTGGGGGCATGTTTTCCCATTCTAGAACATCACATTCCAGCTGCCTACAGCAGCAAAACACACCTAAGAACATGGCCTTCTTTTTACAAGAATGTATTCTAACTAACAACACAAGAAAAAAAAGCTTTTTTTGAATCATTCCAGCTTGAAAAAGAGAAGCCGCTCCCCCTCCCTGCCCCTGTGGCAGAGGGGAAAAAACATTTGGGGAGGAAAAAGGACTAGACTGATTCAAATCATGTGGTCAGTAAAAAATACTTTGAATGACCCAGTTTCTAAGCGAAGGAAATGCCGCAGTATTTGACCATATAGTTGCAGCCTCGGTAAGGCTGGTCGTGTAGAGCAGCGGTTCCCAACTGTTTTGGGACTATGGTCCGGTTGGGGGGTGGATGCTCTGTGCATGGGGGGGCAACCCTGTGCTCGCAGGTGGGCGTGTCATGCTTGCGTGCATGCCCACCCTCAAGCACGATGCACCCCTCCGCAAGTGTGACACGCCCACCATGCGTGCATGGGGGGGGATGGAGATCCATCTCCGTGGCCCAGTTCCAGGAAGCCCATGGACTGGCACCGGGCCACGGACCGGGGATTGGGGATCCCTGGTGTAGAGCAGCCATTCTGAACCTGTTTTTGGCCATGGCCATGGCCATAAATACAATATGAATGAAATATAGGCAGATCAGGGTTGTCTAAGTCATATAATGAACCAGGTAACATGGTGTCTGAAGAACTGTTTCCACTCTGTGGTCCCCTATAAACGTACCAGGGCCTCCCATGGAACCATATGGCCCCCACTGATAATGGTTGCTGTACAGTATTCTATAGTTAAATCACTGCAACTATTCACTTCTAATCTTTTAAATCAGATTCTGTTTTGAAAAGGATTGAGGAAGATGGCTTTGAAATAGCAATGCAAAGAGAACTGGTCCTAACAGAAGAGCAAGCCCGTGTGTTTTACAAACAGCATGAAGATCAGGATTATTTTCCAGTTCTTCTACAAGAAATGACTAGGTACACTACTGGAAAGGCAGAGAAAGACAGAGGCAGAATCCAGCTGGACTCGTGGAGCACAAAGTAGCAATTGCATAAATATTATTAGTGTGTTTTATTTATTAGACTTTCCTTTGCACTCTCAGTAATTCCCTGGTTGTGCAGTTAATCAAATAACTGCAGTCCCACTACCACAAGAGTGCATCTGTAATTTGCACAGTAAAATCCAGCAGGATCCTGGCCAACAGAATTAGTTTATATACAGTGGTTTTTCTGAATAATTTCCCCCAAGGATGAGAGGCAAATATTAATCAGAAATGTGTATCATTCATAAGAATACAACATGCATGTACTGTAAGTAAAGCATGCAACGTACAAGCTGTACTTTAGGGGTATGCATCATGTGTTCCCCCTCAAAATTTCTGAGCATGTCTCAACAGCTGATCCAGTGTGATCTCAAACTAAGTTTGTTTGTTTCTTTTGCTTATTTTTTTTTATTTGTATATCACCACATTAGTGAACACACACTATTCTGGGTGGTTTACAGAATAAAATATGAAACCCCCAACCACAATCCCAGCTTGACTCCTATATATCAACCCAATATGGCAATTTACCAATTCAAACACAATTAGTAAAAACAAAATACCAAAATTTAAACATTAATGCTGACAGTGTTTGTGATACTTTCTTAAAGACTGCTTTACATAGTTCGGTCTTAACTAGTTCACTGTTTAAAAATGGTAAGGTTCAACATCATAGCTCACATTGGATCTCACTTGGCCATTTCTAATGATGGGGCAGATACCACTGCTGAAGTCACAGGAATCTTGTGGTGAGATTTACAAATAGCCATCTAAACCAGTGGTTCTTAACCTTTGTTACTCGGATGTTTTTGAACTGCAACTCCCAGAAACCCCAGCCAGCACAGTTGGTGGTGAAGGTTTCTGGGAGTTGCAGTCCAAAACTCCTGAGTAACCCAAGGTTAAGAACCAGTGATCTAAACCATTTTTGTCTGGAAGTAGTTTCAGTTTCATCCAGTACTCATTTAAATCCTTGAATGAATGCTGGAGAATTCTGTGAATGAGTCCTGTCAGTTAAACAAAAAAGAACAATGTTAGCCCATTTTTGTTTTACAAAGAAACCAGTTTATTAAGTCTAGCAATGTTGTAGATATGTGATAGGCTCTGTTGCTAGTGAGTTAGATATTTCCCAAACCAAGCTGTTCTGATAAGAGGTTTGTGTTAACAGCTGACTTTAAAAGACATTTGACAGGTTTGCCCTCAATTCTGTCCAGTCACTTATTGAATTCTGTACTCTATTTAAAATCTTAATTTTATCTTTTTCAATGAACGGTATGCTCAGAATCACTTTGGAATGAGGAAATTCTATGTAGGTCACACTGATTTTGTATTTTTTAAAAAAGACTAATTACATAGAAAATACATTTTAAATGTTTAAAGATTGTATTTTTACAAATGTTGTTGTTTCTATACTGAACAGTGGGCCTACACTCGCACTTTCTTTGGTGAAAGAAAATGCAATACAGAAATGGAGGGGTTTACTGGGCCCAAAGATAGTTGAAGAAGCAAAGGAACAGTGCCCAATGAGGTAGTTTTGGAAATTAATGTCTTATATATATATTAAATAGATAAATGAAGCTGTGTTTGTACTTTGAAAGTTATAAATGTTGTGTTGCTAGCTCATGTAGCAATAGTGCCCTCATCTGGACAGCACTCACTGGTTCTTCAGGACTTTGTGAGAAGTTAAAACACAAGTCAGCTGAATGGCCACATAGAAGTCTGCACATTCATCTGTAGCAAAAAAATTAAAATAAATATAAACATAAAAGTATCAGAATGAAAATGATTACCTGGAAGGCCCACATACATTCATAAATTGTATCTCAGATAGTCTGTTGTGTCTCCTTAGAGAGAATCTCTATTAAGGTTTTTACAGGTTTTAAGTTTCCCCTCCCCCTACAAAAGGGGCTGGTAGACAGGATAAAATGCAGTATAGTCTGCAATCTATTTTATGTTGCTTTATTTTAGGGATCAAACTATTATGACAGCAATTATATTCTTTGTTTTTTACTATTTAAACTTGCCGACACTCTAATGTGTTAAAGACAGCAATGTCCAATGGAAAAGTTTCACTACCACACTTTCTCCCACTCCTCACAGAGTTTCACAGGCTGCGATCCAATGGGTGTTTACCCCACTGTTTGGATCACTATAGGGATGGATTGGTTCATTCCTGTTGAAAGCGATGACAATATGTAATTGCTGGAGCAAACAAATATTCCCCAGAGCTCACTCCTACCAGCACCTTTCCGGTCCCTGTAACGGGCTTCTCCTTTTTTGGTGGGGGTAGGATTGCTGCGGCTTGGTCTGTTACCAGTGCATATGATTGCTGGGAAGGGACCAAAGTTAAGCCTTTTGCCAATATTGTGAAGTGGCATAATAATGCAGGCACTTCGGGATACTGACAAAATTAATCACTTCCTCAGCTATGTGGAGGGGCTGAGGAAGTGAAAAAAATGGATGCCAACATTAGTTATAGTATAAGCTAACCAGATTTTTCCGTTTACACCACAGAAGTTCAACAAGAATAGCTAAGAAACAGCTTTCATTATATTTGCACGAGCCCAAAGAGGTGTACAAAAAACGCACTAAAATGAACACATACATACATACATACATACATACATACATACATACATACATACATACATACATACATACATACATACATATACACACACACACATGCATACATATACATATACACATATATACACACACACATACATATACATATATATATGAATGGGCCTTAGTCTCTCCTAAGCAAAGCATGTTAATATATATAAACTTCCCTAAAAATGCCATTAATCAGAATTAAACAGATTTTCTTGAAAATATTTATGCAAATCTCTGTAAACTCCCATTACATTTTGATTAAAGGAAAATAGGGTGGCCATATCCCCTGTTTCTCTTCCAAACACAGAGAGCTCACAAAAGCAAGCAAGCAAACAAAAAACACCTTTTTACACACTGCCACCAGTTGATTCACTAAATCAACATGCTTTGCTTAAGAGAGACAAAGGTCCATTCATCACTGTCTTTTGAATAAAACAGGTTTATTGATTACAGATGTTTGTTTAATAACTCATAAGTATCTTCTTCAGGTTCATCAAGCAGCAATCACAATCTTCTATATTATCTTACAGGTTACTATTCACTCCTCAGACTCATTCTATTCTGATTCTACTATTCACCTCAAATTCCCCCAACTATCCCCCCCTCTCTCTGACTCAGACTGAACTCTTCTCTCCCCTTCTCCCCTCATGCTCTGCCTTTTTAACATCTCTGGTGGCCCCACCTCTAAACCACATCAACATAGAACATGAATAATACATAACCTATTTAGCGTAATAGGGGTGAATGCCACATACCTCTCCCCCCTCCTTAAATATGTTTGTTTGGGAAAGGAAACACATTTTCCATCCCAAAGAAACATGCATCATTGCATGAAACTTTACTTACCCTCTGGCATCATTTTGCAAGCACTAACAATATTTATTTTAACAATCACAATACCTTTTTATACTAAACATTCCACTACAATTCAATATTATAATTTACCTTATCATTTACACTTACAGAAATATATCACAATCAGGAAACTTTTACATAGATAATTAACCAGTAAATCAATAGTCCATTCCAGTTTATTTTAAAAGTCCTTGCATCCTTCACATTTCTGTCCATCAATATTCAATTTTTCATCACTATTTACCAACAGAACATTTATTATACCTTACTAATATTGTTTATCCCCCTCCATCAGTCATTTGACTTTCGAGGCACAATCTGAGTCTCTTTTGCAAAGTCCAAGTTTGCAAAGTCCAAGTCTTTCACCTTCCCATTGTAGTAAGGTGCGCCGGGGACTGGTCCGGTCGTTATTGCCTCCTTTAGCTGGACACGCGTATGCTAGCACTTAGGGGTCCCTCAGATGATCACTGGCTCCTTCTTCTGCATTCTCTTCCGTCAACTGGAGGTCATCTGTCCCTCTGCTATCCACTGGACATCCTTGGCTTGCCGTTTCTTAGTGAAGCCTGCTTTCTTTCTGGCTCCCCAGCTGGGGAAAGGGTAGGCAGTACCCTCTCCTCCTCCCGAACATCTTTGAAAAGGTCAGGGCTTACGCCTTCCTCCTCACTCACACATTCACTCACTGGTATTCTCATTGAAAGTTTTCCCTGTGTGTGGGACCACGATCATGGGTCACTTTAATATTCTCATGCAAATTTCTCTTAAGTGCAATCAACTATTGGTTTGTTTTAGCTGCACTGAGTATGCTAGCTGATTGCACACAAACACACATTTTAAATCAGATATCAGAAAAGAAAAAGAGATAGAACTCCCTTTTCCTAACAGTTGGGGTGAAGAAGCAGCCTCTTCACCACCAACAGTTTGAATTCCCCACCTTTTCCCCCTGCCTTTTTCTGTTCATAACTGGAAGCTCTGGCCGCAAGTCAAAGCAAAATTTTGTGGCCGGAGCTTTTTGTAACTCGAAATTTTCATAAGTAGGGATGTTTGTAAGTCAAGGCCCCACTGTATGAGATCAGTTCCTAAGAAACTTTCACCCTCCAGGCTTCCCTTTGCTACTGTATCCATTTCTGCTGCAGTGGGTGATTCCTGGTCCCCTTGTGAGTGTGTAAGTGCAAAAGCACTCTTAACATGCTCTATCAGCTGTAAACCCACTCTGTCAGGTCTTTATCTGTCATAGACCTCTCTGGGTGTTTAGGGGTTAGAGGAATGGGATTCTCTCTAACTTTTGTAACACAGTCTTTCAAAGTACTATCTTCCATCTGTTCCTCAATACAGGAAGGATTATTAGGTATAACCTCATCAGCCATTTTGGTTACCTCATGGTTCTTTTCTAACTTGGGGCCTCCCTGGATAGATTCAGAGGTTTGGGATTCCATTTTTCCCTCAAGGATTGCCAACTGCTCTCTCAGGGAACCAGTTACTTCAAAAGCACTCTGTACATGCTTAGTGAGATCTAGCCCAATTAAACAAGGTGCAGAAATTTAATCAGAGATTGCCACATCCCAAATTCCAACCCAGTCTCTATAATTTATCTTTACTTTAGCCATGGGTAAAATCACTGGAGTAGAACTTATTCCCTTGATGGTAAGTCTGGTTTGGAAGAATTTGTTCTTTAGGAATCACATCAGGATGACATAGGGTTATGTTAGAACAAGCATCAACCACTCCTTCATAAGACTTTTCATTAATAAGAATACTCTCACCAGGGTTATGGATTAAAGTATCTTTTGCCTTTACTAGAAAACAATGAATGACCTGGGCTAGTGGCAGATCAGAATTTTCTGTCGTGCCAGTTGCCATGGAGACAGAATTACCATTGTTACAGCCTCCCTCTGTGGCCTCAACTGGTTTTAAACAGTGCACCTTCTTAGTTTGATTATCATCCTTCTCATTTCTAAGTTTAGTTTTCATACAATTGAATTGTAAGTGACCGAACTCCCCACAGTTATAACACTGTTTATAAGTCCTTCTCTCACTCTGAGGAGATTTGTTCAACTTTAACTTTTCCTCAGGGTTCATTTGGGTCTGAGAACTAGGCCATGCTAATTTAGGTGAAGTACTACCCTGGCCTTCTTTTCCTGTTGTTTTGCTGAGGTAATTTTTATTAAAGGGTTTCTTATTGTTGTCCCAGTTCTGCTTGTTAAAATTTACCTCAGAGAACCTGTGGTTTCAGATCTCCCCAATGTAATCAGCTTTCACCTGCTTCTAATAGATTTTTGGATTTTTGTCCTTAACTAAATAACGCAATTCTCCAGGCAAGATAGAATAAAATTGCTCCAACTCAATCACACTTTCCATCTGTTCTAGAGAAGTTACATTTTCACGTTCCATCCATTTCTCCAGACATTGAACTAATTTAGCCCCCAACTGGGAATAAAATTCCTCAGGCTTTTTGGTAAGAGAATGAAATTTTCACCTCAGGTGTTCTGCATTAATACCAAATATAGAATTAACCATTTTTCTGTAGGCCTCAAAATTTCTTGCCTGCTCCAAAGGCATCTGTGAATACAGCTCAGCTAAATCTCCACTTATTTGGGATCTCAAAACCATCATCCTTTCATCATCCTTCACATTAAAGTCCCAACAAGCACATTAAAAGGAAATGAGGAAAGATTCTGGGCTGTCACCTTTTCTATATTGGGGTAATTGCTTTAGATCGATCTTTGAGAGATTTTCGTCACTAGCGCTGTTGTTATTGTTATTTTGAGAAGCCAATTCCAATTGTTTCATCTGTATTTGAAATTCCATCTCTTTGTTTTAATTCCATTTCTCTTTGTCTATTTTCTTGCTCAGCTCTGGCTTTTTCTTTCTCCAATTCTAATTGGTTTTTCAGAGCTAGCTCCTCAGCCCTGGCTTTGATTTCTAATTCCTTTAATTTAAATTCTTGTTGTAGTTTCCATTTTTCAAATTCCTGGGAGCCTAGATCCTTTTGTCTTTCTGAGGCATCCTCCTCAGTCTCCAACTGTTCCCTTGGAGTTAAAGGGTCTCCGTTTCCCTCCATATCTTGAGGTAAAACTTCAGCCTCGGGTCTCCCCTTTTGGCTATGTTTGGGTGGCATTTTTATCTGAGCTACTTAGTCTTGAGTGAGTTTGTACTGATTTTAAAAAGGACCTGTCTTTCTTCTAATTCCAGTCACTGAAATAATTTCCATTTCAAGCCTCTGCTTTTTCTTCTATTCCCTCAGATCTGTTCTGACCCCTGGCTTCTGCTTTTATCCACCAGCAATTCCTTCTCTCAGAGCCTTGGATCTTAAGCTAGCCACTAGGTCTCTCAAATTCTGAGGTAAGAACAGGATTTTTTTTCTTCTGAGTCATTCCCTTAGTCCCCCAGATCTGAGTTCAGAAGCCCAGCCACTACGCTTTTCCCAAAAGCCCTAGCCAGTAACCTACTTCTTCACCACAGACCTCTGTCTAAAAGGTACCATTGACTAAAAAAAATTACTTTAAACTCAGGCTTTACTGGATTGCTTCACATCCCACCAGTGGACACCAATTGTGACGTTTGCTTGTTTGTGGCCCCTGTTCCTCTTCCAAACACAGAGAGCTCACAAAGGTAAACAAAAAAACACTTTTTTACACACTGCCACCAGTTGATTCACTAAATCAACATGCTTTGCTTAGGAAAGACGAAGGTCAATTCATCACTGTTTTTGAATAAAATAGGTTTATTGATTACAGATGTTTCTTTAATAATTCATAAGCATCTTCTTCAGGTTCATCAAGCAGCAATCACAATCTTCTATATTATCTTACAAGTTACTATTCACTCCTCAGACTAATCACACCTCAGATTCCCCCAACTATCCCCCCCTCTCTCTAACTCTCTGACTCAGACTGAACTCTACTCTTCCCTTCTCCCCTCAGGCTCTGCCTTTTTAACATCTCTGATGGCCCCACCTCTCAACCACATCAACATAGAACATGAATAATGCACAACCTATTTAGCATAATAAGGGTGAACGCCACAGTGGCCATATGTCGTACAGACACAGTCCTCTGTTAGAAGGTCTATCGGATTGCAAGTCTCTGTACATCCTCGTGTAGTTGAAGGACCGTCTGGCCAAGGGAGAGCAACCAGGTTCTTGAAGTTCCCTAACAGCAATTAGTGCCTAGACAATACCAAGCCAAGGAGCATACAGGTCAAGATATCATGGTCTTCCCCTTAGGCTGATAATTCCCTTTCTATTTAATCTTTTGTAATTATTTCTAAGTTTGCATCAGTAATATATTAGCATATGTGAAATCTGTGCTTTTTCTTCTGTGCACCCTCTTTTGTCCTCTCTGTTTTGGTGATGGATTCCTAAGAATGAAAATGGGTGGCAACGTAGGAAAGTGTGGATCTCCTTCTTCTGATCCCACCACCCAACATTTTGCTAAATGTGTTAAAAACAGGAGGAGCCATGTTGGGTTATTGGTCCCTGAGACAAGAACAAAACCCAGAATCCACTGGCAGACAGTACCTGTTTACTAAGGACAAACAAAGGTTACATTGCTATATGTGAGCTGATATCTGCCTGCCAGTGACTTTGTAATATCCATTTTAGAACTAAAGTTAATTACAGACTTTGCCAAATTTGAGGACTTCTATGCTGCTTCTTTCTGCCATTACTTGTCTGACAACCTAACCGGATTAAAAGTTTTTTAAAATTAAAGCTTTCACATGCTTGTGGAATTTTAGCTGATCCCAGTGAAGGTATTCTCTATCTATGGATTTTGACTTTTGCCAATCTTATTGAAATTCTTTTAGTTCTAGCTAAATTCCTATGGAAGAACAGAACCTTAAGCATTTCCCTCATATATAACTCAGGGAAAATCCTGTTTCTTTTCTACTGTTGGATCATTTTCTCTTGAACCTTGTCTCAAAACAAAACAAATCACTCCATTGAATCTGTACTCTAATTTTCCTTCCCTTCATCACCTGGAAGAGTCTGAACATCAAGGGCAGGATCTTATTAGCAATTACAGAGTAGATCACTTTGTGATTGCTCCAACCATCTCTGGCTTGTACTTACACAGGCTGGAGAATATTCTGGTGAAATCAGTTAGACTTACACATGCTCAAGGGTAGTGAATACTCCCTTGCATAACTGGTAAAAACACACACTCACACAACAACACATACATAATTTCACATTGCCATTTGTACTGCAAATACTCTGCACACATCTAGAGCTCCAGTTTTCCCAAGCTTATAGAGAGAGAGAGAGAGGAAGGGAGGGAGGGAGGGAGGGAAGGAAGGAAGGAAGGAAATAGCGTGATTTGGGGAATTTGGCAAGTTGCAGAGCAGAACCAGACAAGCTCAAGAAGTTATTGTCCCTCAGATTTCACACAAGTATGCAAGATGTTTATGTTATATTTAAAATTAGATTATACACTAAGGAAAAATGTGCCATTATAATTTGGGAACTTGATACCTCTGCCTCATTTCTTGTACTTAATTTATTGGTTCTATTTTTCCTAGTTTACGAGCCGAGTTTGCCATTGAGAATGCCCCAATTAATCAGCTGCATGGAAGCTCAACTCCTGATCAAGCTGCAAGGGAGTTAGAATTCTTCTTTCCTGTGGAAAACACCGTGGCTGTCATTAAACCCTCTGCTCTTGAGGAACACAAAGGTAAATACCAAGAGGACAGCTGTCCTCACATGTGCATTAAACATATGAGTATCAGCCAGGATAGCACTTGCTAATTCCCTAACTCCAGTGGGCAAGTGCTGGCCAACCTGTCCTGATGATTGCAGTGAGTGCAAAAATGAGAGTGTTGTTGCATATACTGTCCTTTCCAATTAATGAAGAATATATTCTTGCCAGAAGGTGGGGCATTC